TAACACATCAGAGCTCATGTCACAAAGCTTCAAGTACCCCTTCCTGGTGATCAAAAGTCAGGGAGTGCCCAGTTAACCCTGATTAATGTGAACAACGCAATGCATTGCATTATACCCTTGGCCTATAAATATCACAGATATAAATACACCCTGTAAAATGTCATCAGTGGTTTTCAAAACCATGAATTCCTAACTCCCCTTAAGTATCAGGTACACATTGCACCCTACATAATGGGAGTATTATTACAAACTTTGTTTGTAATAGGGTTTTTAAAGAATAGTCTAATTCATATTCTTTTTATTCAGACCAGGTTAAACATATCTTAGACAATAGACATAATCTAAGACAATTTTTCTCAATCGTTAATAATATCTTGGGAGTCAAAAGGCAATATCTTTATCATCTACTCTTCCTACCACAAAAGAGCACTGTAACATGTTCTTGTTATTCCTTCACAACAAGGTAGACAATATCAGAAGCTTCTCCCAAGGATTTAGAGCAACTGTGTGCTGAGCTGGGATTTTTCTCACTTGTTCTGATAGGGAAACTCTCTATTCTCTTTAACTGTCATGGTACAGAACAGTCTCTTCACGACCATCTGTCTTAGTCCTTTTTCTAATCTTATTGTCTTCCTGCTTTTCAGCTCTTTGCCCATTTGCCCAAGATATTAATGAATTACCTACTCTGCCATCGTCACTCAAGTGTGCAGCTATTTCTACCCTGTTAATAAAATATGTCTGGTAACATCACGACTGTACTAAGCTCTTTGAACTCTGTCAGTCAGGTTTCAGAAGTTTCAACAGTACTGAAAGCACTCTGGTGGCGGTGACTAAAGATCTCCTCATGGCTCCAGAAATTGGCATTGCTGTATCACGTCTGTGTTTTACTGGAACTCAGTGCTGACACTGTTAACCTCTGCAAGGTTTTGATTATATACCTGTGCTAGCATTTCTGGAGTTGCTCTTAAAAACAATCTGTGTGTCAATAGGAGACAAAGCCTCTGATGTCATTCTGGTCACCTCTGTTGTCCCACAAGGCACTGGTCTGGGTCCTCTATTATTCAGCATCTGTATGTTACTACTTGGCCAGATCATCTTTCATCACGTTCATTTACTTCAACTGTTAACCTGGAGACAGTAGCCCTGTCAGTCACTATCTCTCCTCTTGCAGTCTGATTAACTAGATGTTAAAGTGTCTTACAGTGACTAAACAAACAAGACTGAGAGGGGGCTACAGGGACCTTGTAGAAATGTACAATATGAACTGGACATTTGTATGTATACTGTATTAGTATATGCAGGCCCCTGGTCAAGCTGGCCAGGACAGGGGCCACCGCTGGGGCTGTCAGACCTGCTCCTTGGGCAGAAAGAAGAAAGGATCAGTCTGTGGCGAACTCGAGCTCGCCGTGCCTCTCGCTCCACTGTGACAGCTCTGTGCGGAGGAAGCATCTGAGCCTTTTTTAAAAGCCGTTTGGGGTGTTCTGCTCATCAGCCTACAAGCATTACCAGTGCATTATCACTGAGATCCCCTGTGAGTGAGTAGCCACCGCAGAAAAAGACTTAATAAGAAGATGGAGATAGCCAGGTCAGTTTCTCTTTTCAGAATCCCCAGGAGTCAGAGAATGCTGATGGACTTAAAAGATTCTGGAACTCCAGAGTGGATGGAATATAAATATTTTAGGAGCATTTCCTTTTAAGTGTGATACTAGGCTAGTCTGCTGTGTTTAGTTTCAGTCCAATTAAAATGATATAACGCAAATCACTCGGAGAACCGGTGAACGGTTCTTCTTTGAATAAGAATCACAGGTGTCCTCTGCTGACCTGCAGAAATGGGGCATCATTTCAGACACCTTTTGGGACTGAGATCGTGTCAGAGCAACGCACCTCGAGCCCTTGAAGGCTGACAGCTGTGTCAGTGTCGGCACTTTCTTAATTTGCCTCCTTTATTTGTTTATGTAAATAACCCTCCTTTTCTCCTGAAGAAGAATGGCAGCGGAGCAGGCTTTGAATTCTCAGTGGAATCCAAGGGTCAGGTTCTCAGATTTCAGCCTTTAACAGGATTTAAATGCAGTTACATTATATTGTACTATATGTTGTGTTCCCATGATGCCCCCAGTTTCATGTTCATTCATTCTTCGTGTTGTGCTATGTAACGTTGTCAAACTCCATTCACTGTAGAAACAACAATTATTTTATCTAAGATAATTTAGATGAAGGTCTCAGCAAGAAACCAGCTCAGTTTCATCAGAACGGGTGAACGCAAGAGGAAGCCATTTGTCCTGTCGACCTCTCCTGGTCACTCGTGCTTGTGTGATCTGAGCAACTGTTTCTCCCCGAAGGGTGTCAAGCTGCCAGCTTCATCGACATGGCTGGGAAGCCTTTTAATCATGGCTGAACGATCATGCTGATGATTCCAGTCAACATGCCTGTGCTGCCGTTACCCAGAGGATCATCTGGGGAATGCAAGGGATGCTGCTCTCGATTCAGAAAGTCCGTCAGCCTTGATTGGCAAACCCTGGCGCTGCACCGCGACCATTCGCCCACCTCTGTGTCCCTGGCCGGGGGCCGGCAGGAGCTCGGCTGTGATAGAGTGCTGTAAGGCCTCAGTGCAAGCTGACCTCCTGCCTGACCCCTCCTTGACACTTCACTTTACATCTTCGCAAGCAGACACGGCCCTTTACAAAGCACTGGTGGGCTGGGGAGAGCACAAGGCTGCTGGCCTTTATGGCTCTGGTGTCTGCTTGTGAAGGTCCAATAAAACAGGGTTACTGATGGGATAGCAGGGGCGTTGTGAAGGCAACCCTGGCCACAGAGGTCATGCCGGCCTCTCCTGCTGGTAGGTGGTTATACAGGCCTCCCTGCTGTGGAGTGGAATTACTATATATATAATGTATACATATATAGACATGTTTAATTTGTAAAAAAACATCCTAAAAGCTAAAAGCAATCTGCCATGGAGCAAGAATAGCTCTGATCTATAAATATGTTGCTTTGCAAACCTTAAAATACCAGGGCAATTTTTCATGGTGCATGATACAGCGCAGAAGGTTTATCCCTTAAAGGCTCTGAAGTACCATCGTTCACACTACGTGCTTCCGCAGCAGGGGCACAAACTTCCAGTCTCAATCTTCGAGCAGCTCCGGGCAGAATAATGTCGATTACTGTGGGATTTTTCAGTGATTCTTTGTTCTTGTATACCAGGAGGCATAAAAATGTAACAAATTTTGTTTGGGCTAAACACTCATTTATTGCATTTCTTTGAAATCAGTGTTGTCATCCAAAGCCCCACCTGCAAACTGGATCATTTCTGCTAGTTTTGCAAAACAGCACCAGCGCCCAGAATCTGGTGAAATCGTCACAAATTAACTATTTTTTTGCTATTATAATAATGTATCCTAGGCCAGATCATTAAGATTAATGCCTACTCCATTGATTTTTATATTATCATTCCCATTTGATATAATTTATATTATAATTTCCCATTTTACGTGTGATACCTAAGCCAGAAAGGCTAGAAGATGCAATCTGGCAGCTTTAAAAAAAACAGATTAACTTTATGGGGGGATTTAAAACTTTGTTTTGTGTTTTCCGAGGAGCGTCTGTGTAACAGCAGAACACATCTGTTAAGGCCGACATTAATTGTGAAATAAATGATTTGGAGTGGTGCTGAGGACACAGGGACGGGCTGCCAGTCCTGGGCTGGAGGGGTGGGGGGTGACAGGATCAGCTTCAGGACTTCCATAAACACTAATAAAACTGAGAGGAAAGTGTGCCTGCTCTTCTCTTTGAACAACCTCTGTGATCTCTTACTGCTCTCAATTACCGTATTGTCCCTCTTTTTCTCTCTCCAGCTCAGGGTTAAACTCTTAGCAGTTCGCTTTGAAGTGATTATCCCTTTATCTCAGGCCAGACCGAGGAATTTCTGGAGGACAATAGAAAATGAAAAGGGTGGGGGGGGGTTGGGGGGGAGGGAGGCTCACAACAATTAACTAGCAGGTCGCAGCAGAGAGAAGTGTGAATGTCCGGTTTGAAAGGGCCTGTCGAGGAGAGGGAGAGACAGGGAGACGGAAGAGGAGCTGGAGGAGTCCTGGTGCTCCTCTTGTGGGGTTCGGAGAGAGGGAGGGGGGGAGGAGAGAGGAAGGGAGAGAGAGAAAGCAGTTGTCAGCAGAATCAGATGCCATGCAAGGCAGCAGGCGAAGATACAATTAAAGTGTGGAGTTAAGAAGGGCTTTGAAGTCGGACATGGTACATAACACTCTTAAAGTTAGAAAAGGCCGCCATTCATCGGCTTGTTATGGGCTGTTAAGAGGATCTAGTTAAAAGAGACAATTTGGGAAAATAAACTTTCATTTTTAACTTTCAAATAGTCACTAAATAAGTATGTAACTGGCGACAGGCAGAATACTGACATTGCTGCAACCTGTACAATTTTAATAAAGTTATGCCTGCATGGAAGATTCCAGGCACAGAAGGTTATTTATTACTTTTTTTTTGTTTTTAATCCCATTTTTCGCTTGACTTTAAAGTTTAACAATGTATCGAAACAACGTCTAATGTTCATCCTAATCCCCTTCTTGCCATGAAACCTTAAAGGCCGTGGTAATGAAGTCTCACAATGTGGCAGCCCTTTTTTCCCTGTTTTTTTTAAAGGAGGATAGTGAAAATGTAACTTAAAGGTTTTTCTTTTTAATGTTCATTAAAGTCCCAGAACGATCCTCAGATTACTCACTGGTGTTGATCTGCTTTGAATAAACACAACCCTGAGCACCAAAGACTCAAAATAATGAGACACAACTGTGGAGGGACTGTGGCCATAGGATCTGTTTTCTTCTCTAACCCAAGCAAGCCAATGCAGAGAATTTAAGGCTGAATTAAAACCAGAAAAAAAGAAAAAATTAAGAGGCTAGAACATGCTCTTGTAGAAGGAGGAGAAAGGGCATTCTGTTCCCTTCCTGCTCTGTCAGAAATGTGTTTTTGTCATGTTTTTAGGTGCGAGATGAGTGAAAAAAACACAAAAAAGCTTTTATTCTCTCTCATATATTAGCAACAGCAACAGCAGCCGGTCCTGCTGATGGACGAGTGATCCTGCTTGATCCACTCTGAGTGAACAGTTGCTGCAATCAGATCTAGGCTTTGTCCACAATCACTCAAGCTTGCTGTAAAAACCAATGAGCGGTACGCAGTCAACAACCAGTGCCTGCTTGCTAGCCAGCCTCAGCGATTCCCCTGATTGTGGCTGTTGTCTTCTATATCCTGAGAACTAGTTCATGTTTGCCTCTCTTTCCTTTTGATGGGCCAAGACTAGCTGCAGATGGAAATGAAAGTACGCTGTCACACTCCCACCCCACGTGTCCCACGGGGAGCCGAACGCAGCCTGAGCGCTGGGTGGGATGTTGCTCGAAGGCGCATGAAGGTGCAGCTGGGGCCCGAGCCAGGCGATCTCTTGCCAGGTGCTCTCCAGCGCGAGTCGGGGTGGGGCCCGGGTGGCTCAGCGGGTTCGAGCGCTGTGCTACCGAACCCCATGAACCCGAGACTGTCACCGTCGGCCCTTTCCCTTCCACTGGCATCGCCTGAAACCGGGGCCCGAGGAGACCTGGGGGGTGACGAGCAGAGAATCAGGACACTGGCAAGAGGCAGAGCCCGATGTGATCTTACAGAGCAGGTGCCCGTGGATTTCTATAATCGGCTGACTGAGCTCGGCAGGTGCCGAGCTGATGTGCGATGCTCTTCGGTCCTCCTGACTGGTGAAACCAGGCACACCAGTAGGGTGACTGAAGGAGACAGCAAGTTCTTTCTTTATGCTAAGAGTCGTAGGTGTCTGAAACAAACGGCCTAGTCTGAAACCAAAACTCTGGGACCCTACAAGAACCAGGCAGGGGAGAGTCAATGCAAGCCAAAGCAAGCCTCTGCTGCATCCTACTAAAAATATGAAATGCTAAAAAGAATCAAAAAAGACAATAAGGAAAACACGTATGACAGTATGTTGTCTTGCAGAACTGACAAGGTGCTTGTAAAACTGTCTGGCCTTTGACTTGGCGCGCAATTAACAGCTGCAGACCTGACAGGAAATCCATGAGAAAAGATGAGTGAGCCGAGCTGGCTGGCTGAGGGGCTCCGTGTCAGACACGAGGGCACTGCCTGCCCCTCCACCAGACAGCACGGATAGAGGAGCATGCTCCTGCTCGAAAACAAACAGCCAAATTCGACAACGAAAAATAATAGGTTATTTATGCAGTGTGCATGAAAAATAAAACCACATCCTCTGAGGGATTCACTCGCCTATAAAAAGCACAACTGGCTCCAAGAGCTGATTTCCTCGTTTTGCTACTGAGCCCAGCCATGTGTTCATACTGCAGCTGCAGGTTAACATAACTGGGTAAAAGAGCAGGCCATGGACGACACGAGCTAGCAACCCTGGCCTGCTGCAGCTGAAATTAAATCACTTCATGCTTTCACTGCACATGATTAAAAAGCTCATTCAGGTAAGGCATTCAGCCTGTCTCACCTGTGGTGGAGTTAGCAGCTAATTAAATACTAAATAAGTATGTAAGTAATTGAAAGTAGTTAAAAATGAAAATTTATTTTCCCAAATTGTCTCTTTTAATAAGATCCTCTTAACAGCCCCTAACAAGCCGATGAATGGCGGACTTTTCTAACTTTAAGAGTGTTATGTACCATGTCCAACTCATCCCACCATTTCTTCGGGGGAAAAAAGCCAGGTTATTGACTTCAGGATCACAGCTGGGCAGCTTTCTTTTCATGCACTCACAAGGTTTAATTAAAAGTGATGAACTAATTTGATCTTTTAATTGAGATTGTCAGACTGATGGTCAGAGGGAAAATCTGGCTGCCGCAAGAGGTGAGGGCGGTGGGTCAAATACTTTTTCTTTGCTATGTTGAGCCCTGACAAGCCAAAGTTTTTAAAGAAATGAACAACAAGTCTGGATGTGTAATTGTTTGCAATTTTTTGGTTTGTGGAGGGGAAAGAAAGGGCCTCTGACAGCATGAACATCGTTGATCATTCATGGCCAGTTTTGCTCTAATCACGTATTGTGTTGCAAAAACGAATTCCTTGCTAATTCATGACCAAAGTGGGACACGTTTAAAATAACTCCAGTGGACCAACTCCACCGTTAAGGCATTTAGATTCTTCAGAGCTATGTATTACAAAATATACTTTTAAGCTTTTTCTGCATGTTTGAGGCAGGTTGGCCAGATTAGTCCCAGCTGTGCTGTTTTAGTTTAGGTCTACGTGCATGACTATGTGTATGATCGGATTGCTTATTGTAAATGCCCACTGAAATAATCAATCAGACTCTTTCCTCCACACAGAGCTCCAGCGCGTTCCCCCTTGTGGCTCTGTCGGTGTGCTGCAGAGCCCTGCAGAGCCCTGCTGCCCACAGATCAACCCATCCAGCCCAGGGTGCAGCAGCCTCTGATGGGGGTTGGGGGCACCTGGCTAAGCCCTGCTGGGGTACCCTCGACTTGCCATACACCAGTGACCTCGCTGACGCTGGTGCAGCTTTTGGGGTGCTGTAGTGGCGAGCACAGCAGGTTAAATGCGGCAATTTGCAAACTGGGAGAGTCATAATAGAAAAAATAATAACTGGCCATTCAAAATACGAAAGTGAAGGACATTAAATACAGAAGTTGGATCAGAGAACAGGAGCATTTAACACAGCATGCTTAGACACTTCCTCCCAGCTTCTAGCCTTTCCTAATTAAAGTTAAATTGACCCTTTTCTCCTTTTGTTTGTAATTTGTTAATCTATTTTTAGAAAATAAAACATTCCTCTTAAAAACATAGATAAATTCCCAATGAACAACACTGCTTTTCATCCAGCTATATTACGGATTGTGAAATATTCAAGGGCTGTGTGTGCAGGCACCATTTCACAGACGGTATGGGCTTCTCTTTTTTTTATGAAATTTTAAAAAGAGTGGCAAAAATGTGTTTTGATCTGTCCCTGTTTTCGACCACCACTACACACGCATCTCTGCTGTAAACCACCCTTAACAAGAGCCTGGCCAAGTCCAAAATGTTTTCAATACACACAAAAGATCATCTCTCCTTTTCCCGCTCACAGTCATTCGTCCTATTTCAAAATGCCCCTCAAAATGACAGAACAACTTTCTTTCTAATAAGAAAAATAACCTCCCCTTTGCATTCCAATATTTCCTCAAGTGTTTTTTTCCTCCATTTCTGTTTTGCTCATTTATGACTTTGTGAGTGTCACAAACATATTATCCCTCAGATTTCCCTGAGACAGTCCAGCTCCGCATATCTCTACAGCACATCTCTGGTCCCCTCTTGGCAAAAGGTCATTCTGGAGAGCGACTGTCATCCCCTCTGTTATCTCACATTCTCATCCAGCTGTTTCAACAACCTCGCAGCCTCCTTTCGCCTCTCAGAACTACAGAAGGTGTTATCAGGCGACAGCCCGCAGAGCCGCCGAGCATCTCCAACACTCGCTGGTCCTGACACCTTGAGATGAAGCAAACTGGGCAGGGGTCCGCACTCCCAGTGCCAAAATAACTGAAGCTCTTTCACGTAACATGATCTCATGCCTCTACTCTCTCGTGTAACCAAGGCAGATTTTGTTGGGGGGGGGGGTTTTACCGAAAAAATACCCATCCCAACATTTCAATATTTACATGCTAAAAGCTAACAGCCTCTATGAACAAACTTTTTTGAAAGACACATAGTATGTTTATCAAAATCATTAGGCGACAAGCGCAGAGACCCCGTATCTGCGAACTGCGGATCTCGCCGGGTCTGGCTGCAGTACCGGGACACGAAGAACCGGAGCGCCGACAAAACACACAGAAACGGTCAGTTCGGGCACCCTGGTGCGCTTGGAGTGAATTACAACGCATAAGAACAACAGAAGCAAATAAAGAGGCAGCTGTCAGCATCCCTGGCCGTGAGAGGAGAAGGCTGCTGACGTCTCTGGGGTTTTGTCCTTTGCTCTGCTCCCCGAGTGGGTGGTGTCCCGGCTGACCATCAGACAGCTGGGTCACACCCCCGTTCACCACCGGACCCAGCGTCCGAGAGGGGCGGCGCACCCTGGATCAAAGGGCCTGGCGGTGACCCCTGCCTGCCTGCCTGCTTGTATCCAGCAGGGAGGTGCCAGGCGGGGTGCAGGAGCAGGCTGGGAAGGCAGTGCCCGTGCAGGCAGGCTGCAGTGAGGAACCAGCTTTGAGACGTACAGTAAACACATGAAATAAATCCAATCGGCGCTTCCAGAGAGAGGCAAGGCCCCATGCTTGTGTCCCTTAAAGCTCAGATCAAAGAAGCCTTGACTCTGAATTCCTTAAGCATTATAATGCGTCTCAAATGTCTTTATCTGGTGGAAATACACACTTTAAGTCTCCGGTTGTCTATGTATTGGGGAATACCGCAGCTGCTTGTGCACAGACGCATGTGTGTTTACGTCTTTTCCCTTGTCTTTCAGTGTTCCTGGATGCGAGAGGCAGTGGGGGAGGGGGCTGTGTGTGAACTGTGCCTTTTGTGCTAAATCTTTCCAGAGCAGGATACTATTGTTTTGAAGATTTCTTTCATCTTGCAAACATGCTAAGATATGCAGCGCTCCCCCGCCCCTCCCCCTAAATGTGGGTCCTTGGCTTCAAAAATGCTCTACAGTGCATTATTTCCCAAACCTTCAGCCCACAGGACTTTCTGCAGTCTATCCCCAGCTTGTGAATTAAGATTTGCTTGTATCTGACTAAACAGTTCTTAATAGGTGATCAACCTAGGATACTGTATCACACACTCCCACAGTGAAACTGAGAACTAACGCTTAGAGTATTATCTTTACTGATCTAAATCAGGACGAGACTGTTTTTTTGCCCATTGATTCTTGATGCATCTTTTAAACTTCAGTCACAGTTAAAATTCCTTATTATTCATAATTAAGTTATTTCATCAGATGGGCACACTATTCAGTGAGATTCCTACAGCCAACATGGTTATCGAGAGGAGGAAATGTCTCTCCCTCAAGGTCAGTATCCAAAATTGTCAGAGGTGTCAAAAAAGTGTAAGTAGTTAGCATCCTCTCTCTCCTACCATTCCAGAAGCACAGAAATGGATTTTTGAAGGAATTCTGCAGAAGAGTCCTGTGCTAATCTAAAAATAAAAAACGGCAAAATTAGAAACCACATAGAAGAATACAGCACTGCATATTAAAATTATGCTCATCTTTCCTTCAGCTTTTTTTCTTAAAAGACCTTCTGACCCTTACAGTAGATCTAGAGCCTTTTAGGCACAAGGCAAATTTCTCCAAAGGAACATCTATCCAGTTTAGTGACAGGCTATAGTTTAATCCAATTGCTGTTAATACTTTATAATTTATGGAAAGTGCCTCAAGGGTGCTCTGTATGGAAAGGCACTAACTATATAAGAATAAAACTGACAGATTGAAATGTAAAAGATTCTTGTGAGCTAGTCTTAAACTATATAACTAGAACACTAAAAACGAATTTATGAAAACATAAAAAAGGGTGTGAGCATAGCAAAATTACTTCCTAAAGGTTTCAAGATTTAAAAATAAAATATACAAACTTATGAAAGCAACTGCACACTGATTTCCCTGTTGGCACATAAACTGTACCTTAGGACTAACAAAGGCCTTGGGTTTACTTCAAAACAACATGCAGGTTTTAATTAAATTCGAGAGTCCGTTGTTGGGGAAAGGATTTGTTTCTCATGAATGAAGAGGTGGTTGGATGGCTTTTGCAAAGAAAAAAACATCAAACTCAAACCTGGAACCATAAAATGTGGGTCTCTCAGACTTCAGAGTGAGCTTCTTATGGCCCCACAGGTGTTTGTTTTAAAATGGAAATGAGGTGATCAGTTAAAAGCGATTAGCCCTGATCCCCACATGAAAGGAGAGGAAGGACAGAGGCTGATTTCCCCCTGTGACCTCTTAACAGCTCACAGTTTCATTCCTTGCAAACTATGATTTATGGACTTAGCTGCTTAGTGATCTCTGAATTAAGCTAACAGTTTTTCGTAAAACACCTGTTGTGCATTACTGCATTACCTTTAAGAAAGAAACAAAAAACAAATCTACCAGAAAGCCACATTCCCAAAGTCATACCTGTGTTTATAACAGCCCTACAGCTTGCTGAAACCCGAAGGCTGAAAAAATGATTTCCAATTGAATGTTTTTTTTTTAATGTCTAATTACAGATAGCTCATCTTAAAGGAAAGGCATCATTAAATACAATTATCTTTAATTTAAAGAGCTGCAAAAACAAGTATACTTACTTAAATCTATTTTAGCTCATTAATGAACCTTTTGAAAAGCAGGGCCTAAATCGCATGTGTTGCCACCACAAATCTTCAAAAATAAAGATTTCTACAATTTTTTCGAATACTTCCCCCTACTGTCTTTTAAAAAACATGGTTCATAAGTGGCTGTTCAGTCTCATCCTTGCAGCAACTTCTCTAAAAAAACATTGCTTTTTGCAGACACGCAGATGACAAACAAATTCATTTAATGCTAGATTAAAAAAATAAAAGGGCCCATTACTGGATGGACACTTCAAATATCACTGAAAAATTACAGGCAAAGACATCACATAAAACATGTGTAATTGCTCCTGCTAAGCCGTCGCCTCAGAAATAGAATCTCACTTCTATCCCCTTGCAGCCCGAAGAGCAGATAATATGTTTACAGTCAAGTTATGATACCATATTTAAGTTCGCCCTTTCATTTTTAAATTCGCTGCTGAACGCCTTTTTATTTGCAGCACTTGATAGGAATAAAAAAAAATTACATGATAAACTAAAAAAAAAAAAAAAAAAAAGCCCTCCATTCAATGGCGACTTCCTGTTTAGTCCCCACTGTAATGTGCGGGGGGGGTGCTTTCTCAGGGCCCGTTCTCCAGACTGCTCTGAACGGCCCTGAACGTCCAGCCGGTAACTGGGTGGCCCTCATGGCCAAGGGAGCAGAGTGGCTCTGAAAGGGATGAGGGGTGAGAAGCGATGAGCCCTGTGGTTCCTGGATCGGCGGGAGTCTGCAGCGGTCCTCCAGCCACGGGGGGCCCCTGCTGCGGACACTGTGAGGAGGACAACGGCAGGACACCAGCACGCAGGTGTGTAGCTTACGGCTGGCTCTCCCTCTCTGTTCGGAGAGCTGAAGCTTTGTCCTCACAGCAATTAAAGAACGGACAATTCCAAAATCGGGGGTTATGAAAAGGAACGAAATAAGTGGCAAATTCAAAATAAAAACATGAACACAAATCTCTGAATGCTTCTCACACATGAATATCTGCCTGGTCTGTACCAGCTGCTGCTCTTGGACTCTGAATCCAAGAGATATCAGAAGGGACTGATCTCAAGCTGCTCAGCTGGATTAACCTGGACGCTCTTGCTGTGCATTAAGGCCAGCCTTGCTTAAAGCGCAGGCATCTCTGACAGGGCTATTGTAAGGAGAAAGTTAAACATACAACAGTATGTGCACTGAAACGGACATGAAATATGGGTTAAGCCACAATGCAGGTATGCCTCCCCGGCATGGATGCAATACCTTCACACAGACAACAGGAGCAACGGTTTCTGCAAAGCCTGTGCTTAATGCTTCAGAGGGGAGATAAAAGGGGTGTCATGGGATGGTATAGAAAAATGTCAGCTCAAATTCAAAACAAAGTCTCCCCAGAGACCAGAATCTTGTCCCTAAAGCCTCCCTGCTTTCTTCTCCCTGACTACCCAGCCAGGAATCAGTTAAAGTGTCTCTCCAGAGAGGCCTGCCTTGCCTTGACCCAAAGAGAAGCCCGCGCCACTCCAGAAGAGAGGAAAATTACCCCTCTTAACCTCGCCGTGCTCAGCTGGCAAAACACATTTATTAGGAGAACCTCTCGTTCTGTATTTCGTACCTAGCTCTTAAAAATCAGCATAATGGGAAAGAAAAAAAGCGAAGCTATTTATTTTTCTGGCGCAAAGTGCATCCTCAAACCCACCCATCTCTCACATCCCGCCCCACTGCTGCACCAGTCCTCGCAGCAGCAAGGCTGGGGCTCCACAGATGAGACGTACAGTTGTATATGACCATGCTCTGCTGACAAAATAATACAGGCATGCAGCACAAAAAAACATTTTAATAAAAGTGGGATATGGTTAGGTCATATAAAAATAATAAAATACAATCAATACAAAAACCTTCATTTTTTTGTTAAAAAAAGTTAATACCTGTTACAAAACAAATTAAATACTTGCGTGATGTATAATGCAAAATTCAATTTGACCACAATGAAAAAAGAATATTAAATGAGATTAGAAAAATAAATAATGAAACACAAAGTTAAACAAAAACAACGCCACTGTGATGTGTGCAGATCTCCTTATTGAAAGACACTCTAAGGGGACAGCGGAAACAGTCACAGTTCTCACATCTGCAGGTGATCTCTGCATCTCCGGACTGAACAGGACCAGGTGTGGACGAGGACGAGGGGGCTGTCCGAATGCAGCAGTTACCTACGAGGAAGCACAGAATAAGGGCGCTATCACCTGGGAGTGAACAAAACAGCTGGGAGACAAACTACTACAGTGTCATCTGGGGACATGATATACTGTATCTTTCCAGTCAAAGACTGGATAAACAGAATCACACACATGTAGGAATCCATAAAACAACACGTTGCTTGTTCTTGAAGTCTGGAGTACAGCACCAAGCCCAGCCAAATGTACTTTTGAACCAAAAGCCCAAGGTGGTATAATGTGGGGTTGTGTCTATCAACACAGTGCAGTCAAGCTAATTATCTGTGATTCACCAGGCTGTGAAGTGTGATTCAGGGGTGATTTGCTGTTTGCAGTGCTAATGGCTCAGGAGTTCCACCACTGTGGTTCACTGAGCTCAAAGGCTCCACAGTTCAGATCCTGACCAGAACCAGGGCACAATGGCAGTCATTCCCAGACGGCTGCCTTTTTTTTCCTAAACCCACCTCCACCCGCCCCCCCCCAACTTTGAAGGACTTCTTTTTTTTTCTTCTTTCTTTTTTTCTCACTCTTTCTCTTTTTTCTTTTTTATCAGACAAAAAAAATTCTTACATTCGCAAAGAATAATTAAAACACAATGAGAAAAAAAAAAGTTTAATTCAAAAACTTCCTGATATTCTTAACGTCCAGTGCCATTCAAGTATGTCTCTAACGGGCCCCAAACCTTCCTATACTCATTACATTTCCCCTGTAAATTATATGAAATTTCTTCAAATTTAACTTGTGATTAGCCTCTTTAATCCATTCTCTGTACGACGGTCCTGTACTGTCCACCCATTTTCGCAATATTATTTTTTTTAGCAATAATACAGTCAAGAAAGTATTTTTATATTGAATTGCTGCTTTAATCTTTGATAAATCACCCAGGATACATGTAATGGGAGTAAGTGGAATTGAGATAGTTAGGTGCCTGAGAGCTTTCCTCACTGTGGAGGTCCAGAATGACTGTATGTGCTGACAATACCGTAATAAGTGCAATAATGACCCTTTATGTGTGTTACATTTTGAACACATGCCTGTTTTATGCCACTTAATCTTTTTCAATTTTTCTGGGGTATGATAAAGTCTATTTAAAATGTTGTACTGAAGCAGTTTGTTATGTAAAGCTCTAAATGGATAACTAACATTACGCCACACAGTGTCCAAGTCCGTCCTCTGACCCTACACAGAGATCAGCTGTCCACTGAGATGCACAACTATCAAAAGACTTGTCTGACCTTGTATTGATAAGGTTGTAAAACGTCCGAGCCTTCACTTGTATGTTAGTCTGCAATAGTTTATTGCTATAATTACCCAGTTGATGATTTAGTTCTCTTAAAGGAAAGGTTTTAGACAGCAAACTTAATTTACAAAATTAGTTTTAATTTTAAAAGTTTGATGAGATAATTCAGAAAAAGACAACAATTTGTTATCTCTAATCATAAAACCATACTCCATCTGATCCATACTGGCCAATTAATTGGTCTCGACAGTATAGTTAGCCAGACAGATGTTTTGAAGTTCCCCTTCCTCTCCGTTGCTCAGTGTTTCCACTGCAGTTCAAGTGGGGAATTATTGGAATCACTGAGACGCTTCCCTTTCAACACAACAAATAAATAAAAACCTAAAACTATCTGAAGGATTAATTAAATCCAATTAGAAACAGGGTACGTGGATGTTTGTTTTATCATGAGAGTGAATGAGATAAAAAAAAAACCATTACACACCTGTTAGACCTTCAGTCATGTATTAATAATCAGCGTCCAGTGCTTTTGGGACATCATCATCTCACAAACATCAGAGGTTTGGGCTGCAGGTGATTAATGACCCGTGTTACTGACACTCTGCTGGACTGTGAGATCGCCTCTCTAACATAAAGCAGGGTGCATACACATGCATCAATAATATGTAACTAACTTACTAACCAAGACAGCCATGTGTAGTTTACATATACCCTATTCGTATTTTGTTTTTCACTTGATAAAATACTGGCAAATTTGCATGTTCCAATCTGTGTATATTACATAGGTATACACACACACATACAGCTGGGCTGGAATGGACTTATGCCCTGTATCTGAAACAAGACTAACTTTGAATTGCAATGCTTATTATTATTTATTAACCTGCACCTCTTACCGAAAGAGTTTAAAATTTTTGGATCACTCACTTCATCCTAGTGAGAGACAGGTTACATGTTCTTTATTTATGAAAATAAAATCCCTGCTGAATGCAGGACTTCCATCGTGGCTTTTGTCAAGGCTCTTACTTAACCAGCGCATTTCTACTGCGCATTTATGCTTTGCTGCAGAGAAGGTGAAGCTCTTTAAGGAGGTGAGAAACTGCGTCAAGGGACCCGACACCTGATCCAGGAGAGACAACTTCCACCTGCTTCCTGAAGGAAATCAGGAAATCGGTTTCAACAACTGAGCAGGGCTGCTTGTCCACGCTCCCACACTCCTTTAAATCCTTCACATTTACTCCATTTTATTAATAGTGATAAGCAAGTGTCCATCATTGTAACCTGGTTTGGCAAACAGCACTGAAATCCCAGAACAAATGGGTAGATGATGGAGCAGGGGTCAGGACTCACAAATCAGGACTCAAGACTCCTGAGAGGGTCCTGGGTTCAAATCCAGGTAGGAACCCCACTGCGGTACCCTTGAGCCAGGTACTATACTCAGATTCATCCTAGGAGCCAGAATTAGTTTGCAAAAACAAATCTGCCGTGGTTAAGTAATGTGTATCTGTGACGGAAATGTACGTTGTTTGCGATAAACACATCTGTCAAACATATTACTAATAATTCTCGCAGGCAGCACCTCGTAGCACCTCATCCTTAACGGAACAGAGCTGTCTTGAGGTATTACTGTTTTATGACAACACTACTAGTGTAGACAGTCAGCGTCCTCACAAGATACTGACAGTTTTAACAGGGAACTTTAAACTGCAACACACCTTTACACACTTCACAACTGCATCATACTTCTGTTCAACCTGTGCTTTTGGCTACCATCCCCTCCAAATTCATACCGTCATTTTACCCAAAAAATCTATAATTGGTGAAAAGCTCCTCGAGAAGGGCTCAGCATACTAGCAGGCGACAGGGGATCAGTGAGCTTTCCTGAAGAAAGCTGAGCTGCTGGGAGAGATGATGAATCCCAGGACAGCACAGTGACACCTGCAGGCCGGGCAGGGCCAGGCAGTCCAGGACTAAGTGAAGAGCCGTTCGTTTCCCCAGGAGGGAGCTCTTCCTGTGTCTTCATGAAGACTAACCATCCCCTGATCTACCACAGGTGCTGCTAACCGCCCGGCAGACCCGTTCATTAGGATCCCCTGTCCTTGTCTCCTCGGTACACCTCACAGGCTCTGGCAGCACTGGGTGGAACAGCAGCCGTTCGTGCGCCGAGAGAGGAGGAGAGGACAGAGCCAGTCTGCAGGTAAACCAACAGTCACCTCCTGCTGCGGCAGGCGTCCAGGTCCTCCTGAAGGACAACGGCGCGCTTCTGGAGGAAGTTCACCTGAAACGAGAGACAACGGAAGTTCCTCAGACCAGCTGCAAAAGCCGAGGTGGACCCAGGGCCGTTCTGAAAGTTAGTGGCTGCAGGGCAACGGGCTCCACTATATCAGCGAGCACAATACCCTAGTCCAGAGCATTTTCCCTACACCGGGATGTTCAGTTTTCCCAGTGCTGCTCTACCTCTGCAAGTTGCGAATGCAGAAGTTTTCAGTGCTGTTCCATGGCAATAGGCCCTATTTTGAAAACAGCAGTACTCCAGCAGGCCCTCATCAATGGAATAATAGCAGATGAAAATGTTGTCAAACGTAAATGCAAATGTTTTTGCCCGTTTTTTTGGCAAAAAGACTGCCTTCTTCCATTTCTATATTTTTCCCAGACAGGAAAGAAAACCATGAATTTTGTTTGCAACTCGATAAGAATGCGCAGCCTGATTTGTTGAGCTCTGTTTCTGAAGCATCGGGGTGAAAAAGCATTTTTATTGTTGTTTTTTTTGTGTGTCTTCTTCAAGACAAAAAAACACTTCTTTGTTTTACTCATACTGCCTTTGCCCAGGTGATAGAAAACATCCTGTTTTTAGGTGTGTACTAATTTCACGTAGTTTCTATAATGAGAAACAAAAAGAAAAATATTGGCTGAAGACAGTGATCAAATTGTTTAATTAGCTCAAACTCAAACTAGACAAATTGACAAAGAAGACTTGAGAGGACCTTATTCAAATATTTAAAAACAACCTAACAGATATCTTCAGAATCAACACTGAAACATTTACTTGTGGAAAACGTTCCTGGAAAGTACAAAACTATTACAGACCCTTCTTTACACAAAACATTGTGGGGGTCTGGTACAAGCTACCCAGCCATGTTGTTGAGGTCAATACCCTGGTTTCTTTCAGGAAAAGGCTGGGATCAGTAAGTTACTAAAAACCACATGAGCCAAAGAGGCCAAATGTGTCCTTCTCCATTGTTACGTTTTCATATTTTTTCGAGCAGATGAGGCCTTTATTGCCACAACGCATAATTTGCACTTATTATTGCAAATTTGAACACAAAGCTGTGGTTATCAAATGCAAAGAATTTGGACAGGGCTATTTAAAGACTTGCCTTTGTTCAGCAGGCTCTTGACTGCTGCAGTACAAAACATCTATTGTTCGCTTTAAAATATTTAACACAAATTCTCAACCACAGCTGCATGTACAACAAGGACTGCTGTAACTAATAACTAATTTTATTGAATCCTTGAAGCCCATATTAATGTGGTTCCACTGTATAATTGTCTATAAACTGATCAAATGGTTCAGACACTTCAAAGCACAACAGTTAAATCACATCCACGTCCTTTAAAGCGAACTACCACTGCTTGCTTCTGACATTGGCTTCAAACAGACAAAACGGACCCAATCAGACCAAAACCCTTGGTGAAACATTAGCATATCTTATTCAAGACATTTTTTCTTTAATTTAAGAGGAACTAGATTTTCATGTTTGGTGCAGCAGAAGGCGTACTGGTTAAGCCACATCAAATAAGAGAAAACACAGGGATATCTACAAGTTCCCAGGAGGCTTTTGAGCACATTGGCTCTGAGTGCAATAACATCTCTTGTGCTGGTGTTGTAATTTCTCTGTGCAAGTATGTCAAACACTCATCTCCCCCTTTGTAATGCCTTCTAATTGCAGCAACACTCCTTCACTTTGAGAAACTGGCTTGGTTTCGATTCTAGTAGCCCAGGCAAGTCCTTACACATCATGCGCAGGCACTATTAGGAAACAGATCTGAAATACTTCAGGACAGGAAAACGACTTTTCAACATTCCTAAACGAAATAATAAGACTTGTATGTCTGCTGTAGGAATTGTGAGTCGTTGCCTTCGATTGGCTCTAATTAGGTTGTCTCGGCGAGAATCTACATGAAACCTTTGAAAGCGCTCCATAAACACACAGGTGTGGATTCTTCAGTAAAAATGTTAGGTTGAGAAAATGCTTCTTGTACCGCAATATTTTCATCGATGTCTGGAATGGCTTTAAGCTGGCTCCATGCCACTTGCCCGAGATGGCGAAAAGAGAAGAAAAGAAACACAGCGTTTCGGCTGTGGAGCCTTCTTCGGGTGTGACACTCGAGCCCACGCCCGAAACGTTGTTTTTCTTTTCTTCTCTGTTCAGCAGGGAATAAACCTTTACTTGTTCCTCTGCAGCCTGCGCAGGCTGACGCAGCTCCCTGCTTGAACTACTTGCCTGAGATTTTAAGGAGGCGATGGTGTCCTCCAGCTCCTGCCTTAGAGCCGCGGGCATCAGTCCCTTGATCTTCATCTCGCACTCCTGCCGGACACGGGTGACCTGAAAAGGGAGCAGCGAAGTCCTGTCACATACTGCACGCTCTCTTCCACCAATACGAGTACAGTGGGTCTTGTTTTCTAGATTCTCTACAAATATTCCGCACCCACCCTACAGAAGCACCACCTTTCTTGCTGGCGCAGAGCATCCTTTCTAGTATGGTGCTGCTGTCTTAGCGCAACCAGATTTTGTGTCCAGTATTGTGCTACACAGATGCTCTAATTTCAATAAGGTTTCAAATGCAGGTAACACTGTGGGCATGCCATACCTCCCAGCCCTTGGGTATTTTATCTTATTATATAAAGGTATTTATTCACTTTGCTAATTCACTTTATCCAAATTGAAGGTTGAGGGGAGGAGGGCAAAACTGTTCCATAATGAATCAACCCTTTCAATCATGTGGTCATCATATATGTAGCAGCCCTATTATAAACGTGCTTCTGTTATAATGAAATGGAGGTAAATGAAAGCACTCTGTGTAAAGGAGATTAAAGAGCACTGAACTGTGTGCCTGGGTTTCCTTAGGCTTTCTGTCGTTAACTGTATGGCTGAAACTGCACTGACTGTTCCACCTCACTAGGCTGTGAGCAGACCTGCTGTAATAAGATTCACCACGAAGGCTGTGAGCAGGTGTTGTGTAACAGTGAAAACTGACCACTTGATTGGCGGATTGACGGACTGAGCTACTCCAGCAGCTCTTTACCAACGACCAATCCCCCGCATGCTGTTCGTGATGTATCTCCAGCCTAAAGCCTCAGCTTTGGAAGGCCTGGAGAAGGAGAGGAACAGGAGCCAAATGCATAAGTGCATATAGGCTCATAGTGCACAGCCCCTCACACCCAAGGAGCTCACAGCCCACTCACTGGTCCTGACAGTGTCCACTACCCACTAGTGCACAGCCCACTTGTTGGCCCTGACGGTACCCGTACCCACTAGTGCACAGCCCACTCACTGGTCCTGACAGTGTACACTACCCACTAGTGCACAGCCCACTCGCTGGCCCTGACGGTACCCGTACCCACTAGTGCACAGCCCACTCGCTGGCCCTGACGGTACCCGTACCCAC